GGGGGGCAGCGGGGAATCAGCCAGACCCTGCTGTGCAGGGAGATGGGGCTGCTGAGGCCTGGGCGGGAGGGCGCTGGCTGCTCGGCGAGTGCGGCTACGGGCTGGGTGCCTGGGTCTGGGGCTGGGTCTTGGCTGGCTTTAGCCCAAGGAGAGGGGGTTTGGGACGCTGGGGAGGGCTGCCCGGCCTTCCCTGACCTAGCCTGTTCCTTTGTTTCAGGGCCACTGGTGGCCGTCAGCAAGCCCCCGGGCCTGGCTGTGACAGGTGAGTGCTTGGGGTTCACTTCTCCCACATGTGCCGGGCCTGGAGGAAGGGGCTTGTCCCTCCACTCCCGGCCTGAGGGGGAGCTGGGGGGGGTTCCCTGGGCTCCCGCAGCCCCAAGAGCAGGAGGAGTGACACGGGTCGGGGGGTTGGGCCGGGTCTCCATGCTCATGGCTTCTTCCCTGTGCCCCCCTCCCAGGCAGTCCAGGGCAGCTGAGTTTGGTTTCGCTGCTCCCAGATCTGAGCCAGAGGCTGAGTCTCCCTCCTGAGCTCCATGTGGTCAAAGCAGCTGGGAAGTAAGTGAGTGGGGAAGGGCCAGGGATTGGCTCCCCATGGAGAGGAGTGGGTGCTTGGTCATTGGTTGCTGGGGCGGGGCAGGTGAGGGAAGGAAGGGGGCTGGCTGGCTGCGTGGGGGGAATGGGAGGGCATGGGCCTGGTTGATGTGGGTAGGGTAGGGCCCTGAGGAAAGGGGTGGGGAGGGACCCTGGGGGGTGGAGAAGGCCGCTGGGGGGCAGCAAGGGGCGGGAGGGGCCATGGGGGGTGGGGAGGGTGCAGGTGGGGTGGTCAGGGGAGGGAGGGGCTGGTTCTGGTGGGGCAGGGAGGCCAGGGGAGGGAGGGAGGGACCCTGGGGGGGTGGGGAGGGCAGGGGTGGGTGCTGGGGAGCAGGGCGCTGCCTCTCCATAGCTCAGCGCTGTGTTCCCATCTCCGGCACTGTCTGTGCCATGGGACTGAATCTGATGCCCCCCCTCCAGGGACAGCTCTGGCCTCGTGCTTCTCTCCAGCTGCCCTGGCACCACGCAGCAGCTCCATGCGTTCTTCACGCAGCTCCGGAGAGCAGGGCGCCCCCCCGCCACTTACCGGTGAGTGAAACCCCCTCCCCTGCCTACTTACTGGTGAGTGGGCCCCATCCTGCAGAGTGCTCCTGCCCCCTGCTGGCAAGTGGAGTGTCCCCCTCCCACAGTGGGGCGCCTGGCCGTGTGCCAGAGACTGCGCTGTCCTGGAGCCCCAGGGCGCTGACTCGTCCCGCTCATCTCCCGGAGCCCAGCCACCTTGTAACCCCCTCTCCCTCCCCCCAGCGCTGTCACTGCCGGGGTCCCAGCTGCCGTGGAGGGGGAGATCCGCACAGGACTGAAGCTGGAGCAGGTTGGGGACCTGCAGCTGGTAAGGAAAGGGTTCAGTCGGCGGTGTGTCCTGGGGGCAAAGGGCTGTGGGGCCCCAGGGAGGGGATGGCTGCAGGGCCTGGCCAGTCCCTCTGGCTCCAGCCTCTCCCTGAGCGCCTGGCTCTGCTCTGGTTGCAGGTGGTGCCGGTGGCTGCCCCGTCCCGACGCAGCGTGGAGAGGAAGGAGGTGAAGCAAACCCTGACCCGCTACAAGGTGCTGGGCGCGGCTCCGGGCTGCGGCCTGGTGCAGCTCCAGCCCATGACAGGTGGGGAATGTTCAGCTCTTCCTGACAACGCTGCCCAGCAGGGCCCCAGATGCGGGGGGGGGGGGGGGGGTCTCCTGCCATCCTTGTCAGGGAGGGGCCCTGGGCAGGGGGGGCTGAGGGTGCGTTTGCTGCCCATGGATGGGGGGGAGGTACCCGTATTAACCCCGACTCTCCTCGCCACAGCCTTTCCTGGCCAGCTCCTGGTGCACCTGACGCTGCTGCTGTGTCCTGCGCTGGGCGACCACGTGTACTCCGCCCGTGTGGGCACGGTCCTGGGGGAGCCCTTCCTGCTGCCTGCAGGGAGCGCTCTGCCGCGCACACAGGTACCGGGCTCTGCCCCGCCACCGGCACCCCTTTGCTGGTTGCGCGCTGTGGTCCCACGGCTCGGGCTGGAGCTGTGGCATGCAAAGCCCCCGTCAGCCCGGCATGCCGGGCGGTTTGCCTGGTCTGCCATGGAGGGGGCCAGGGCTGGGATAGCAGGGGGCTGCGGGTCAGGAATGAGGGGCATCTCGGAGTGGGTGAACATAGGACTTGCCAGACTGGCTGAGACCCGGGGGTCACCTGGCCCAGCGTCCAGACCAGATGCTGCAGAGGAAAGGGTACGACCTGCCTCATACTAGGCCTCCTCCTGGTCTCTGGGAGCTGGTTGAATATCCCTTCTTCGCAGCCTACCATCCAGTCCTTCTCCGTGTCCTCAGGGACATCCTGTGGCAGTGAGTTCCACAGATGATTTACGCATTGTGTGACTGTGTTTCCTTTTCTCAGTTTAGAATTTCATTGAGCCTCCCTGTGTCCTTGTGTTAGGAGCTGGGAGTGTCCAATCTCCGTCTTCCTTCTCCAGACCCCTCTTGCTCACCTCAGTCCGCGCTAGCAATCCCAGTCTTCAGTCGCTCTTCAGAGGAGGGTTTTCAGCCTCAGGTCCTGCAGCCTCTGCACTGCGTCGTGTGGGATGGGCTGAGGATCCCACTTGGGCCGTCAGTGATTGTACAAAGCAATGTCATCTCCCCCCTTGTGTGCTGCCGGCTGGCAGAGCTGGGGCCTGGCCCTGGTCGCTTCCTTTGAGTGCCACGTTCAGTCACCAGAGGGGATCCCTGCCGTGCCGTGCCGCACTGGGGGGGGGGGGGGGGGGGGCTCTTGGCTCCTGAGCCCCCATTTCTCTCTCTCTCTCTGCAGGTCCTGGGCGAGCAGCTGCTCCGCAGGCTGCACCTCACTCAGCAGCTGCTGCATCGCCTGCCACTGCATCTCCACCTGCACCAGCTGCTCCTCCCGACAGCTAGTCTCACTGCGCCGCCTCCGCCCTTCTTCCTCCAGACGCTCCGTCTGCTGGGACTCCCTGGGGACCAGAGTGCGCCGTGACGGGGCGCACCCTGGGGTGGCCCTGCTCAGCTGCCCCCAGCTGGACCCACCCTGACCCAGAAGGCCACTGAAGCAAGAGGCAGGCCCAGCTCCGTGGGAGAGAGGGCATTTCCCACCCCTGGGGATGCTGCTAGCAGAGCTCTAGGTTCGGGTCTCTGCATCCCGCTGGTGGGACTCCTCGCAGGGATGGTCTCCGGGATGGCTGAATAGCCGTGAACATGCAGCCTTCCCCCTCTTCCTGGAAGGCTCCGTGCAGGATGGTGGCGCAGCTGGGCTGCTGCTCCGGACTCCTCCCTCTCGGTGTGGGGGCGTGGCAGGACAGCCCACCTGGTGTGTGCCACCAACAGACTGGTTCTCGGGTTTAGCCACATTGATCTTTACATGGCCCAAACTGGAGCTCCCACTGCTGGCAGGGATCCTTCTGCCTCTCGGGACCTTTCCTGCTCTTCCCCAGGCCCCCCTCCCCCCATTTCTCAGCCTTGCCAAAGGGTTGGTTTGGGGTCTTGTCTCGTGGCCCCCTCTGGCTCTGTCAGCTGCATCTGTGCAAGGGCCTTTGGCCTCCCTGGCCCGTCCCACGTCCCCTCTGTCTCTTGGGTGTTCAGCGCCACGTCAGGGTCGGTGCTCCCCAGCGGCTGGGATCAGCAGCCCCTCCTTGGAGGCAGGACCCACACTGCTGCCCCCACCTGTCCCACCAAACCAGTGTGGCCCCAGCTGTTCCCTGGTGCTCGTGGGGCTGGGGTTATAGTCAGCTGTCTGAGCAGAGCTGTGCTGGCCCCGCCGGGCGGGGGTGCGCCCTGCAGCTAGCCTGGGGGGGCGGCCCGGCTGCGTGCAGACACAGCGTAGCCCATCTCCCACTGGCGCTCCATGCGGCGACAGCACCTTGCCCCACGCTCCGGGGAGGGGTGTCTCCGAGAAGCTTTAAAGCCCTGTGTGTGCTGGCACCGTGCTCCTGGGCGGGTGGGGCTAGAGCCCTGAGGGCAGGGACTCAAAGATCCAGGCCCCCCCAGCCCAGCAGGTTTCACAGCAGTGAGCATGTCCCAGAAGCCCTTGCACTGGCTGCCACTAGGAATAAGCTGTTGCAAGGAGCTGCCAGTCTGCAAAGGAGTTGTGAGCAGTAGTGGTTCATTTTCCTCTCTTGGGTGTGAGGCTGTCCTGTGGGGGCAGCAGGAACCCCTCCCAGGCCCAGTTCAGCTCGACCAGTGCGGGAACAGGGCCCAGCTTGGAGGGGAGCCCTGACAGGCTGTTGGATGCCATGGCCTTGCAGGCCTCTTCCTGGCCACAGAGCAGAAAGCCCCCTGGGAGAGGCAACTTCTCTGGCCCTGGCCCTGCCTGTGAGTGTGGCCTTCAGGGGCTTCTCCCCAGAGGGCAGGCCCCCTTGTGCCCTGTTCATGGCCATGGAGTCCTGCGGCTGGAGGCATCAGAGTAGCGGGGCCAGCGCAGACACCCTGTGCTCCACTGTGTTAGAACTAGGGTATTTTCTGTGTGTTAAAGGTGTAGGTGCCCAGACTGCATCCAAACCATGGTGCCAAATCCTCCCAGGCAAGGGCAGATGCAGGTGTGGGGGGCTCTGGCTTTCTGGTGTATGCACTCCCAGTGTACCTCCTGGGGGATTTGGGGGAATCCATGTACAAAACATGAAACGGCTGGATCATTGGACACCTCCATGTAGGTGGAGTTTGCCCTGGGCCATCAGGTTGCCCCCTCCAGCCCAGGGAGAGGGGGGCAGTCGTACCCCAAGGGATGGGTGCCTGTGCTGGGAACAGTCTGCAAGGAGAGGCTTGGACCAGCCTGAGGAGCCAGGTGTTGGAGGTGGGGTTTATAAACGCTGAGGCACTCACAGGTAGGGCTGCCTGTTTTGGTTAGATGTATTCATCACATGACACAATCTTTAATTAAAGCTTAATCTTTAATTCCTGGAGACTCCAGGCCCATGCTAGAGGCCTGGGAACCCTGCTTCCAGAGCAGGGCCCAAGGGCGATAGGGGGCCATTTCTGGCAGAGTCTGTGCCACCGAGGTCAGGGTGCTGCAGCCCACTGAGATACGGAAGCTGAACACATGGTCTGGTAGGGTGCGCTCAGGTTGTGTGTGACAGTCCTGTGCTCTGTGTCCCCCCCCCAGCCCCACTGCGGTGTTGTGAAGCGGTCCAGTCCAGCATGGGGGCGGAGAGCCCAGCCTGCAGCTGGTCCCAATGGCGGGAAACCAAGGGGGTGCTCCTGGGGGGGGGGGGGGGGCTGCCTTAGGGGGCAGCTTGCAGTGAAGGGATTAGGGTGCAGGTCCTGGCCTGTCTCCACTGCGCCCCAGGCCGTGCTGTACCATGTTCCCCTCCCACCAGTGCCAGGCTGGCCGCTTGCAGGGGTGCTGAGCCAAACGGCAAACCCCTGCACTCCTAGTTCCAGCCCCCCGACCGCTTGCGCCATGGTCTCAGGGCATCCTCCCCCCACCTTGCTCCTTCTCTGCCTCAGCCCCGGGGGCTACAGCCAAAGCACCAGCTGCTGACACTGTTCTCTGCCCTGCCCCCTCTCCACTCTGGGGGTCCTTGGGGGGGGGCTACTCTGCCTTCTGCAGTGCCAGGTGCCCTCAGACATGCGCCCAGCCCCCCACAGGATGGTTTCACAGGCAGAGTCCAACAGTATGGGGCAACCCACTGCCCCTTGCTGCTGTGGGGCCTCAGCTGAGGCCAGTCCTGCGGGAGGGTGACTCCGGCAGAGCCAGGTGGGCTCCTGGCCTCAGAGCAGGTGAGCAGGGCAGAGGGCCATGCCCCGAGCACTCAGGGGTTCACTGCTGGAGGTGACTGCCTTGCTGCCAGGGTGGGGCCAGCTGCTGAGCAGGTGCAAACCAGCCCAGGGGTTTCCAGCAGGGCAGCAGAGGCCTTGGAGCCTGCGCATCTCTGGGGGGCCTGGGAAGGAAAGAGAAATAGGCAGGGGCAAGGCCCAAACTGGGGTCTCCCCAGGGCCTAGCCCCATTCAGCTGGACCACAGGCCTTGCTCCCTACCCTACGGCCTGAAGCCTGTTCACCGCCTCTGCCAGGGCGGTGCCTGGCTCCATGCCCTCCCTCCCCTGCCCAGGGCAGTACCCACCTCCCTCCCCCAGAGCAGTGTCCAGCTCCATGCCATAACCCGGGCCAGGGTAGTGCCCAGCTCTGCCCCCCACCCCCTGCCCAGTACAGCACCCAACCTGCCCACCCCACCCCCCAGTGCAGGGGAGAGTGCTGCACACACCTCTTCCCATTTCAGCTGTGGAAAGGAGAGACAGGCCAGAGAAGCCAAACGGCAACCCTGTGTGCCAAAGGCAAGGGGAAAGGGGGGCTGCCCCCGGGATGTGGAGCCTGTAGCTGGCCCCAGGCCCTGGCCCTGCCAGCCGCCCCCCAGGTGAAGGCAGCGCCAGGCTGCATTTCCTGCCCACATCACAAACTTCAGCTCCTTCTCTTGATCCCTTTATTGGAGGGCACCAGCCCCTGGCATGACTCCCTCGCTGCTGCCAGCAGCCCCAGGGGCACCTCCCTCCTTCACCTGCACAGCCTGTCTCTCTTCTGCTTCCTTCTGCCCACAGCCATGTGCAAGGCCCCGAGCTCAGGGGCGGAGGCTGGGTGGGGGGCCCTGTGTGGCCAGCCCCTGGCACACTGCTGGCCAGGCCTGGCAGGAGGGGCTGGGGGCCTCTCGCGCAGCGCAGCCTGGGCATGTCCCCACTGGCGCTCTGGCACACTGGGCTTCCCTGGAGAGCAAGCAAGGGGGTGAGTGGGGGCGGCAGCGTGCCCACAGCCCAGCTGGAAGGTGCATAAGTCCCGCACGTGCAGCTGCAGCTCCCTACCTGGCTGCCGGGCTGGCCTCTGCAGCTGCCCCTTGGGGCCGTTGGCCTTGCTGAGCTGGAGGCGTGGGGGTGCCCTGGGGCTGGGGACTGGCACCTGGGAGCTGCACTTGGGACAGAGCCTGGGCTGGCCCAGCGGCACCAGCTTGTCCCCCAGCGGGGAGGTGGCCGTGCTGTGCAGCTCCAGCAGCCTCTTGCCTGGCTCTGCTCGCACCTTGCTGGGCAGCTTCAGCCGGGTGCCAGCTGCAGCAGAGGCCCTGTTGGCGGCCCCCAGCTCCCTGGCTCTGTTCTCCTTGCCGCTGACTGGTGCTGGGGGCCTGGCGGCCCTGGCGAGCTGTGGAGCCCTGGGCCCACGAGGGGAGCTCTGTGGGAGTGCTTGGAAGTGCTGCGGGCAGCTGGGGCCCGGCCTGGGGCTGGCACTGGGGGAGAGTCTGTGGTTTGGAGGCCGTGGCTTTTTGACAGTGGATCCTTCCACCAAAAGGCTTATTCCTATGTATTGGGGCACGTCGACAGCCGCCTGCGGGAGAAGGCAGGAGAGTGCTCAGTGCAGAGCCCTGTGGCCCTGCCTGGGCTAGGAGTGCCTGCAGGGCCCTGGGCATGGGTGCCCTGCTGGGCTGGGCTGCTGGCTTTGGATTAGTCTAGCGCCCCTGGGTGGCTGTTAGATGCTGGCCCACTGTGGGAAGGGGCAGGGAAAGCCCCCAGTAGCCGGCTGGCATGTGGCCACTGTGCACAGCCTGGGCAGGCAGTGACAAGTAGCACACGGCCCCTGTGGCTGAAGGGACATTCTGGGAGGTCCCCTGGCGGGGTGAGGTCAGGCAACAGGGCTCACTCCGCAACGCGTGGGGACCACGGGTGGGTAGGACTTAGGGCTGGTTCCCTTGTAACTAGGTCCGTGCAGCAGCAAAGGACACTCTAGTGCCCATGGGGTAGCACTGATCCCAAGGAGAGAGTGCCCCCTACTGAGTCCCGCACCAGTCCCCACTGGAGGGGGTGGGGGGCAGCCCCACGGCCACACTGGGGCCAAGCCAGCCCCTGCCTGGGCCTATGCTCAGTGGCACTGCTGCTCCTGGCCCTGGGGCTGGCCTCCCCCTGGGCGCACTCTGGGCCCCCTCCCAACTCAGCTGGTCCGTGCAGGGCTGGGCCACCCCATGGTGCACTCTGGGTCCCCTCCCAACTCAGCCGGTCCGTGCAGGGCTGGGCCACCCCTGGGTGCTCTCCCGTCCCAGCTGTCGGTCCATGCAGGGCTGCTGGGGACTCACCTGCTTGTAGATGAGCTCAAAGGCCCCCGTGTGGCAGCTGCGGTCATGCTTGCGGTCAATGACCACACGGAGCGTGTCCTCCTGAACGCTGGCGCACAGCCGGCTGGTCACGGCCGTGGAGGCCGCCATGGTGGGGCTGGCGTTGATCTCGATCAGCCAGGGCTGGCAATTCTCCCCGAACATGAAGTCTGCCCCGTATAGCTCAAAGCTGCTCTTGCGGAACTCCACCACGTCCTGGGAGGTCTGCATGGTGTGGATGATGGCCGCCTTCATGCCCGGGACGATCACCTCCTGCCAGGCGCCTGCCGCCCCCGCCTGCTGGAGGTGGGCCTGGAACTGCTGCGATGACCACATGTTGTCGGGGGGCAGCTGGGGGTGGCGGCTCAGCGAGTTCTCGTAGTGCCTCTGGATGGAGTTATTGCACAGGTGGATGGAGCTGGGACCGAGAGAAAGGGGCTCAGTGCCCACAGCTGCACACTGCCCCCGCCTGGGGCCTCGCCCTGGCGCCCAGGTCAGCTGAGGCAGGGCTGGGGAGCAGCGGCTGGGGAGGTGCAGCCCCTTCCCCCAGGCACTCACGTGTCCAGGTTGTGCAGGGAGAAGGGCTGTGTGCAGAAGCGGAGGTAGCTGTCTCGGTAGAACCAGATGGTGAGCGGGTTCCAGTCCGTCACCAGGAACCACTGCCGCAGGTCGAACTTGGTGTTGTGGATGAGCAGGGGTCTCTCGATGTATTTCTGCACCACCCACTTGCCGTCCTTCACGATCATGGGGTCGCAATCCACCAGCTTCAGCATCTCCTCCAGGCGGTCCATGCAGATGATTCCTGGGGGCGAGCCCAGCAGCCCCATGACACACAGCACTGCACGCAGGCTGCAGCCAAGGCCAAACAGAGCGCAGAGCCTCTGCCAGCGACTGAGCAGCCCCCACAGCAAAGCACAGGGCTGCCCCACTCACTGTGCAGGCAGAGGGCAGGCTGGGGGGATTGGTTCGCGGGAGGTCGTACCTATTGCTTGGCCAGTGTCTCAGTGCCAGGCTCCCTTGCCCCCGCAGCCACAGACAGGTGGGATAGGGGTTTCTGGCTTCGGCCAGGCAGGCCCCAGCATTTCCCGCGGGACCGTCCCCATTCCCCACGGCGGCAGGACCGAGCCTTACCTCTGCCCCGCGACTTGGCGCCTGGCTTCACAATCCAGATATTGCGGTCCCCCTCCATCTCCAGCTGTGGGAGCACCTCGGCCAGGCGCTGCAGGACGTGCTCGCACTGTTCGACATGGGAGCCCAGCTGGTCCAGGAGTGCCCCTTCGCTGCAGTCAGACAGCCCAGCTCAGAGCAGAGCAGAGCAGGGGAGCTCCCCTCCCCCCCCCGGGCCCCGCCCCACAGCACTTACTGAATCACCTGGTAGTAGGCGCGCAGGAAGTCCCCCCAGCGTGCCCCCGTCATGCAGAGAGGGGACTCGGGCTCCCTGTCGATATCCTGGTGCGTCAGGCTGCTCAGGTGCTCCTCGCAGGCCTGCAGGGCCGTCTCGATGAGCTGCGGTGGCAGGGGGCTGCCCTTCTTCCCACCAGTCTCTCTCGGGGACTCTGAATGGGGGAGAGCAAGCCAGCTGGCAGGGCTCATGGCATCACACAGAGGGTGCATCGGGTGGGTGGGCGCTGCTGGTGAGCCCTGGGGCTCTAGGGAGCACAGCACATTCCGGCCGAGGTGGCGGGGGAGAGGCCAGCATGAGCATCTCCCTCCTGTGGGGTCTGCACCAACTTTCCCCCATGCTCCAGCACATAACCCTGCTCTCCTGCCTGCCGGGAGCCACGGGGTGGGGGGGGAGGTCCCTAGCCGCCTACAAGGGCTGGGCTCTGCCGGCATGGGGACAGCGAGCTACCCTGGGACCTGGCCCCCTCAGCACTCCCCCCGCTGCTCTCACAGCCCAGGCCCCCCGCACAGCACACTCCCTCTGCCGGGCCCACCAGGCGGAGGTAGCGCTTAGAGTCCTGGCACCTCAGCCTGATCTAACTGTGTAGCTCCCACAGGGAAGGCCACAGCCGCTGTGACAGATGCTCTGGGGTGAGTGCTGAAGCAGAGTCACAGGGGGATGTGTGTGTCACGGAGTATGGGGGGACTCAGGGCCCTGCACCCCCGGCGTCCTGCGATTCACCATGACTCTCAGCCAGCCAGTAAAGCAGAAGGTTTATTTAGACGACAGGAATGCAGTCCAGTACAGGTCTTGCCGGCGCAGACAACGGGACCCCCTCAGTTAGGTTCATCTTGGGGTCCCCGGGCACCCTAGCCCCCTTAGGGGATCAGAGCCCTGTCTCCCTTCTAGCCACCTCACCAGCCAGCTTCCCACACTCTCCTTCAGCGACCCCACCCACAGCCTTTGTTCAGTCTCCCGGGCAAAGGTGTCACCTGGTCCCAGCCCCCTCCTGGGTTCTCATGTTACAGGCTCAGGTATTTTCAGTCAGTCTCCCATCCCCCAAGGCCGACCATCCCAGCCACACTCCCCTGTCAGCATTCACAGACCACAGTAAGAACAGACCCAGTTCGTCACAGTGTGCTGCTCTTGGTGCAGGGCAGCGATGGGGATGGTGGCAGCGGTGGGGATGGGGATGGCGGGGTGGCGTTGGTGGTGGGCGCAGTAAGGGAACCAGCAACAGTGGAGGTGGTGGTGGGGACGGTGGGGGAACTGGCGGCAGCGGGGGTGGGGGTGGGATGGTGGTGGTGGGGACGGTGGGGGAACCGGCGGCAGTGGGGATGGTGGTGGTGGGGGGGGGACTGGTGGCAGTGGGGGAGGGATGGTGGTGGTGGGGACGGTGGGGGAACCGGCGGCAGTGGAGGTGGCGGTGGGGATGGTGGGGGAACCCTCTGCCGCAGAGAGTAAAGCAGGCGGCTTCGGCAGTGGGGCCATGACCCGCTCATCACACCGTGCACTCAGCTCTCCTGCCCAGCACCTACCTGCGGACTCGCCGGCCTTCATGGGCCCCTGTGCGCTGGAAGCCGCCGCTGCCCCAGCCCCCCGGGCAGCTGCGCTCCAGTATCTTTTCACCACCACTTTGAGGATGCTCCGGGCGGCAGTGAGCCAGAAATCCTCTGCAAGAGATGGCGTCACCACCGCTGGGTGTCCAGGCCCCGGAGCAAGGCGGGGCCATGGGGAGTGCTAATATTGGGGGGGCCACTAAGTCAGGGCAAAGGAGGCAGGATTTTCAGGGAGATGGCTCAATTTTCAGAATGGGCCCCTTGGGAAGGTGGGGAGCCCCCCAACCCCTGGGGCCATCTGGGAGCCCCCATCACCCAGGACAGCCCCCGACCCCTGGGGCCAGCTGGGAGCCCCCCA